TTCCCTCAACCACCCATTACTAATGCATAAAATGTTGAGATTGTGAAATACGACCCAATATAGAAGGCAATTTACTGGGGATAATTCAATATCTGGTTTTGGATTTCTTTTCAGTAAATAGTTTACTACACAACGTAATCTCGACATCGACTTGGTGATAAAACCATGTGGGGAATAATGCAAGTGGTATCTATTTCTTAAAAATAGACTGAATTCCCTTCGCTTCTTCCATCTACCCGTCAGTTTTTCTGTCGACTGCTTGGTTATGGAAGGTGACACAACCATGTCTGAACAGGCGAAAGGAATTCCTTCGACGTATCCTTATCGGTCAGGCATCAAGCAACAAACTGACGCTATCGCGACAAATATTGTTCAATAATGATCATGGTCGTCATCCATTGCTCACAACAAACCCACCCTGTGTCCAGAAGCGTACATTATACCATTATATTTAGCACAAGCCCCAGTCCAGGCTTTGAGTAAAACTAATCACAATGCAATACTCTTCCTAAGATATCAGCGACCTTTGACCTTAGTTTTCGCTGAATTCAGCCGACCACGGGTAACCACATACACAAAGTCTAATGTCCCACAAAACCAAAATCGATATCTTGATTCAGTTCAAGTTTGTCGATTTGTCCTTTAATAAAGCAAGTACGCAACCGATGAGATGGGAAAGGATTTTGGGAAGGTTTGCCACCTGACCGACCCGATTGGTCAGATTGATCAGGAGAGCGAAATGTGGCAATGTCGCGACGATTACTTCCCTCCATTTAACTTCCACATTATTTCTAAGCTGATTCCCAGCTGAGTGATGAGCACCAGTGCACATCAGCTCTCTATATCGGGTTGGTTTTACAGCAAAGGGGAGTGATAAAAGTGTGCGACATTCCGCGTAACTCCGTCTATTTGTTGGCCTCCAAGTAACCAAAAATCACAATCTCTTTCTCTCTCTGGGGACAATAAATTGAGCAATCAATTCACAACAGACATATTTGTCAACTTCTCACAGAAATATGTAATAGCGTCTAACAAACTATCTCTGCTAGCAGGTGAACGGAAATTAGATTGTTTTCAAAGAAAACACATTTATGCTGCCTGTATGTGGGTGGTACGCATGGAAAACCAGCTGCGAGGCCCCCAGTGCTTTGGGTATTGCTAGTCGGAGTGAGAAAAAAAAGAAACAAGGCGAATTCGGTCGTTTTTTTGAAAAGAAAACACGGGAATTATTATTTATAAAGTAACAGACCAACATTTGATGGGTCACCATCACACACATCGATACAGCCTATTAACCCCTCAAAAACGACCACCGTCAGTTATACAACGGAGAGTGGGGCGGTGATGTGGGAGGTGTAACAAGCGAAACTGAGCATCAGCCTATTTCAAATCGGACGAACGTAGACACAAACAGCAAGACTTAGGGGCAAATGCCATTTCTAGATTCTCAACCAATCAAAATTTTCCATGTCCGCTTATTTTGTTTCCGTTCCCATGAACTAATAAAGTATTGTATTCTATTACCTGTTCATCAGATGTGCAACAAATGATTGCGGAGGACGGACTGCAAGTAGTCAAGGTTCTCCAGGACACCCAAGGGAATACGAAGCTGATCTGTGGTTTGAACACGTGACCTACAAAACTGACAGGACATTCACTGGTACTTCTCAACAAAGGGCCGTTGCCTGAAATGAGTGTTTCGATAAGCGAACTAAAGTCGAAAACAGTGACAAAAAGCGCACAAAGGTAAGTTAAATCCTGGAAATCACACTACTACCCACACAGGTTGGAACAAGACAATGGTTTGCAGCGAACCGACAACGGTGGCGTTCTTTTTGTCATTCTTTATCAGGTCAGGATGATTGAAAAAGTATGTATGCACATTTACATTGTGTACTCTGTGTGTTGACCATAGAGGTTCACTTTCTTTGGCTCCCTCCAATTAGGCTCAATTCCTCTCCATCTTGTAGTTTATCACTTGAGCTTGGCAGAGATCAGTGAAGTTCGTTTCAAAGTATTAAGCTGTTCGGTGATGACGACGATGATTAACACCGACGCTCTGAGTAGTAGTGGTATCGTACCGGTAACTCGTCGAACAGTAGAGTATCCCGCCGTTAATTAGAACACCTCGTTTNCCTCGTTTACCAAACCAGTCTGACCCGATTCCTCCAAATTTGGCCAACCGTAGTCAATTTCCTGAATTAGCCCAATCTCTTTGATACCTTCATTCAGTTTCGGTTTGCAAAACAACTAACCATGCGGTTTCGTACGGCGGTTTTAGTTGCTGTCCAATGACTGCCCACTTGGACAAAAGAGCCGAAGGAAGATTCGAATGTTGTGAGCAGAGCCAAAAACAAGACAGAGACTAAGGTTGCGAGGGTAATGAGCAGATGCACGAGCCACCGTTTGCGACACTCAGCCATACCACTACTCAGTCTCTAACCGTCAATTAGGCTTATCCCGAGGCCTCTGTCCAGGAAGTCTAATGCGGTCTATGTAAGTATCCTGATCGGGGTTTTATACCCTCATGACACGTCTGAACTTGACCACTACTTTTCCACCCAACATCCGTGGCAACCTGTTTGGTGACATGCACAACGCATGCCCCAACGAACACCACCTACGGAGGTCGACCTTCCTTAGTGCACGAATTTCCAAGCCTTGTTTCGCAGTATATCACCACACGCTCAAATGATGCCTATCGATTTACGATATAGATCAGCGAACAAATGCAGGCGCAAAACCGTCTTTCAACCACAGAAAAGTTTTGATTTGCGGTCACTTTTTGCAAATGACAGCGAACAAGAGATCAGAGCAAGACTGAATTATGTGCAAGCGAATGTAACATCAGTTTCTTTTGGGTAATTGTTTAGTCGCTGACACTGGCGTGCTTTGGACCTTACGGTCCAAAGTTCGAGCCCCGCCACTGCCAGTCAACTTTGGTGGGAGGCAACTTAGCTGTCGTCCGGTTCAATGTATAAATTGTGGATAAAATCAGTCAGCTGTTTTCCGTCTTATTCTTCATTCGCTAATGGGTGGCGCCGAACTTCCAAGATCTCTGACCTACACAAATACGCCCAAACCCGTGAGAGATGAAAACCAGTCAATAGAAAGCGTGTAGGGACACCGCTGTGAGACACATGAACCGGACAAATCTTGTAGAACAAGGGAATGCATGTAAAAAGCTCCAGTTTCCTTTTCTCTATCAGGAAACTTATTTGGGCATTTGGCTCAATTACCCCGAATCCAATCACGTTCCGCATTGTCGAGGCAGGTAACAAACAGAGTACACCCAATCTGCTAAATCCACCGCCACAATTCTTCAAACAAACACGTTCGTAATGATCATCGAAAGAACGGATCAACTTGGTCATACATGATGTGATGATCTCAGTGAACCAGAAAAGTTCCAATAGTGCCTGGGGGAACGACGAGTCCAGGTAGGTGCTTTGTTTACGTCACACGCCATTCGTTTGTGATACGAACGCATAGTGAACGGCTGTGTCTGGGGTGAGGCTGTCCAACGTAGTTAGTCAGGCGAAAGCATGTCTGCGTGCGGTCGGACGAGGTCAGATAAGCAGGCGAGTGGTAGGTGTGTGTGTGTGTGTGTGTGTGTTAGGGGGAGGGGCGAGCATGAGCAAGTTGGTTTGTGCATGCACAGACAAAGCACGGCGCACTCTTGGGCGAGGACAAATGCGCGCAAACCGGCTGTAACAAAGATGTGCGAAAAACGATAGATCTTATTTAAAACTGCACCGTGCTGGATGAACCTGACATGAAATAGCATCGAGAACGGAGTCGGTAAGAAAAGTCGGTTCACACAGGCACTGTGAGATTAATTGGGTCAAGTCAGATTGAATGATGAGACAGGTGGACCAAGATGGATGGGAACACTGAGAGCAGTGAACGAGTAAAACGTCGAGGAGAGGAAAGTTGCACAAAACAGAGACGACCGGCATTGCATCACCCGGATTTGGTGAAAGGTAAAGAATGGTAATTTGTGGTTTGTACCAAATCCCGCACTTCACTTCAATGGAGCTACCAGACGGGAAAGCGTTCAGTTTTGAGACCGGCCAATGGATAGGTGACTAGCGAGTTCCGCAGCATACCTACCAAGCCCGGAAGTAAGTGGCAATCATAAGCGCGGCAATCGTACCACCTAAAATGGTCGATCACCGTTCCCGCACAGCAACTATAGGTTGCCACATAACACATTTCATGCGGAGTGACGCATCCTACATATGGAGTGAGGATGGAAGCCTGAATCAGTGGGACTTAAAACTATCGATTCAATAGAAAAGTGATCCATCTGGCTAATAGTAGTAAACAACCTAAAAATTAAAAAAGAAACAATGTTGTAGGCCTTTCACCGTCATGAGCTATTCGCTTTGTTTCAGATCGTACAAGAAAAGTCTTCGCGTTTACAATTTGTTCTCAAAGCTATAGACGTTTTAATCACTGTTTCCCAATGGACATGATGTAGCTGAAGAAATGAGTAAACTGCGAGTGCATTCAGCTGAAAAAAATGGATAATTTTGATTGCTGTTCACCTCATTTCGCGATGGAAAAAACTGTGCCCGTACAGACGCGTAATGATTTTTACAAGCACATAAGCGTTAGTCTGGCAAGCTGTACAGCCAAGTATCCCTAGTGTCGATATACACCCGCAGTTTTGCGAGTTGATAGTTGTCGCTGGACAGCGCAAAACTGACTCACCGCATAAACGAGTACACTTCAGTTTAATCCACAAACTGCATTTCCTTGTTTCTCACTCACGTGCTCACTGTGTCATAAGATCCCGAGGGAAAACGGGAACTCAGTTTTGAAGGAACATCACGAGAACCCCGGTTCCACTTCTCTCCCTTACCCGTTTTCTCCTCACCCTTCATTTGATACACACCATTTCCACACACACATGTACGAGGTCATGTGACAAAATATAACCAAATGAAAGCGGGGATTATGAACCGCCGACAGGGCGAAACAAACACAAATCAGGCTTACCCACTGAAGCGACGCATGCTCGAGGCAGTTGAACATTCGACCACGCCGTTTCCTGAATGCGATGATGACGACGACGGTGCGATAGTCGATGATGTGCCTGCAGTTGTCGGTGCACTGCACGCAATCGACTGCGGAACGAGCATCCCGGTGGATATTTTGCGTCCGCAAGCATCAGTGAGCCCGGTCAAGTCTCGATTCTGAGTGAGAAGAGCCAGCTGTTGTGTGGCACTATCCCACTGAGAGAGAAAGGCCGCTGTGTTTGGTGGCCCCATTCGGTTTGCAGTAGACGATGAGGTAATGAGACCAGCTTGACGTGCCACGGCTGACAACGTACACAAATCATAGCCGGCTGGTAAGTGTTGTCCTTGATGGTGAGCAGTACTAACTACTGCTGGGGTTTGCTGACTAGCATTCGCTTGTGGTGGGGTTGGCCATACTTTGGTGACATGAGAAACCGTCATACCTGAATTGTTGTCAATAACAGAGCCGCTAAGTCGCCGATTCGGTGAAAAACGAGGTGAAGGCGAGCTGGTTGAATTTGAGAACACCGGGCTGTTTGTGGGGGGAGGAACGGAACGTCCTGTAGTGACCGCGCGAATCGGTTTAACCGGTTCGGGCGGCTTCGGTCTAGTCCCGATGGAATGCTGTTGTTGCTGCTGAGGCCCAGTAAAATTGCTGTTTGACACCAGACTGGTGTGAAATGCGATTGGATTGCCAGTAGAGGAATATTCGGATGCGTCAGATCGATGCGGCGAACCGAGTGGTTGACCGGATCGACCGGAACACGAGGAAACTGTTGATTGAACAACCGACGCCGATGATGAGATTGGTTGTAGTGGATGGGTTCCAGGCTCCGCGTGCGTCGTTTTAGAATTTAGGACAGAGTCTAAAGATGACTGAGAAGCAAGTGCGCGAGCAGCGTGATCATAGACGCTTTTGAGATGATTATTGCTCAGACTGTTCGCGATATTGTTGTTATTATTATTATTATTATTATTATTATTACTCGCATTAGTCAGTTTCGCAATATTTTGCGCATAGCTCAATAAATATTCCTGCGGGAGGATTTGTAGTAACAACTCCGACTGCTGTTGTAATAGCTCTGTCGCGCTGTTACCACCGCTGTTTGCAATCGCAGTGATCAATCCGGCAGAGAAATCTGCTCTAGATATGGGGATCAAATTGTTGTTTACCAGCCCGAGCTCGTTTGTAGAACGAACAGGAAATAGCTGACCCTGTTTTGTAGTCTGGATCCCCATGTCTGATCCACCTCCCCCTAATCGAGCGTGTCCAGTCCCGGAAACAGAAACAGCACTTCCACCGATGGGAAAGGCTGCTGAAGTGGACGCCACGGGTAGTCCGGTTGATTGATAAACATTATTTGCCGTTATAGGCTGTTGGCCTAGAGGCAAAGCGGAGTTTGGAGGACTCTGGTGCCGAGTGATTGCTCTGGAGGAAGAATTCAATATAGGTGAATGGGTAGTGGTCCACTGATTTTTACCCGGTGAAGGAATTGTTGGTGGCGCGGAAGGCTGCTGCGGTGTTTGAGAAGCTGGAGGTGAACTGCGTATGGCAGCGGTCCATCGTTTCTTTTTAGGTAGCATGTTCCGACTAATCACTACCCTGAAACAATTACAGGGCTGTTATGGGTGAAGCTTTCCGCTGAACAATTATGCAATGGCTATGTACGCGTGATGGCGATAATCAGTGAAAAGGTAAGGTAACTTCCACAAGAACGAATTTTCACGTTTCTTCGCCAGGTAATCCAAAAGGGCAATCCAGTTGGAATCACAAGAACATATGCACACGAAACAATAATGGACTATAATCTATGATCGCTAAAAATGCGATTTGTATGAAATAGTGCAGACAAGCTCCTTGGGGCCTTGATGTGCGTGATTTGACGGTTGTGGAATGAGTGGGGGAAACAATGCACAACGCGCAGACGATAACAATAACAATAACGGACCACGGGAACCTGTTGCGCGTTCTGGCGTTAACATGCAGTTCGTGGAGCAGATAGTCAATACGCACACGCGCGATCGCGCTGCGGTCCACACGAACAATGCGCCACCGCTCGGGATGGCCTTTTGCTAGGCGCGAACATTTGGGTTGTGGCCGTATGTCTGTCCCACTATCACTCGCGTGCGATCGTGCATAGGTGAAGGCGTGTACCGCCGCACATGAGTGCGCGCGTATGTTTAATCGTGCGTACGTATTTCAATTACCCACCACACAACAACGTTACGCTGGACATACAAACGCACATGCATTGCCAGCTGGGTTAAGCAAAGCTGGCGGTGAATCATGGCTGCTCGATATGCGCGTTCAAGGTCAAACGGGAGTAGACCAATCAATGAAGAACGGGTTAAACCAATAAACAATTAGGCTTACAACCTCGTGATTGCACTGTTTCGTGCCTGCATCATGTGCGACAAATTCCGATGGACAATGAATTTTTCCAGCTGCGGTCACCTTCCAGTGCGGTAGCAGTAATAAATATCAGTGGGTGACTGGAGGGACCCTAATCAAGTCAGAAGAAACTCCGAGTAATCCAAACGGTATTAATGTGATGCGATCTGTCGGTTAGCACCTCGCTCAGTCACTTTCTCTAGTGGACGATTAGTACGGAGCATCCACTCACTCCATTCTCCGAGAATTTATTCGATTTAACAATGGCAGACAGACCGTTTATTTGCCAAGCTATTGTTCACCCACTTGCAAGATTAATGGTGAGAAACTCATAACTCTTTGGCGTACCTCGTATGCTCCAAAGGTTTGCACATTTGAATCTATTTTTGTTTGTACTTAGGCTAGGGCAAATCATCCTCTTGGTTTTCGCGAGGAATTTCAACCGACTCCATAAACCCGACACACCGACTTAAGTAAATGTATCCGATCACCGAGCACAACGCAACCATATGCACCAATCTATATATATACATATATATATATATATATATATATATATATATATATATATATATA